TCTTACTAGACTGGCCGCTGAAATCATGAATTTCATGTTTAATCTCATTTAATCTGATCTCATACATTTCTTGATGTGAATCTCACTGAGACTAGTTATTAAAAAAACATGCAAAGTGATTATATATGAGATCTTAAAATGAAACCATGACTTGAAAAAAATGAGAAAGTGATTTCATTTGATCTCATTTAGTCTCATTCTTGACATAAAGTTACTATTTTTAGACATTTTAAGGTTTTTTTTAGACTATTTTTAATTTTTTAAAAAGTAACACTTTTTGGTAACACTCAAATGAGATTTAAAGTCATTTAAAGCAATAAAAATAATTTAAATTGAGAAGTGAAAATCATGATCTCATTTGAAAAATGTGATAAGAGTAGACAGTAAGTCTTACTGAGATAGTATGAAACTACTATCAATTGTTAAAACTGTGTAATAAGATCAGTTGAATTGATAATAAGACTATTAAAAAATCTAGTCCTGATCTCAGACACGGTCATACAGTCAGTCTAATTATTACTAATAGATACACAAACTTCAGCTAATAGCTTCAAAGAAAGATTATGCTTAAGAGACAGCAGAGTGTTGAGAGAGATATTACAATATAAGACTGAAAGAGAGAGTTTTCTGACTTCTGAGATACAAGAATTGAGACATTTACACAGTGAGAATGACTTAGAGTATTATAGTATTCACAGTTTGAAGTTATTCACATGAAACATGAGAGTTATCTAGATAGAAGATTGAGAATCTGAGAGAGAAGATTCTGAGTCAGAGACAAATTGAGAAAGTGAGAAGAAGAGTGAGAATTAAGTCTAAGAGAAGAGTGTGTAAGAGTGAGAGAAACAGATTATCAAGTGCCAGTGATTTCATAGAAGGCTCAGTCACTCTTTATAGTTACTCTTATTACAGAGATCAGAGAAGAAAGTAACAGGTGAATTTCTCTAATCTCTGAATCTTCTCTAAGACTACTGATACATTTATTCTCATCTGAAAGTTATCTGAAGATTAATAACTGATACTCTGCATCAATTGCATATAGCTATTATCACTTTTAACTCTGACATATTAAGTATGCAATCTGAATGAAATCTTAACTTGATTAATCTGCAGATATACACTGATATCAAAAAAGAAGTGCAGCAATTTTACTATTAACTGAGAAAAGAGAATGAGACAGTCTATCTTAATAAGTTAAAGAGTGATATAACTCTTTATCACTTAGAACTTAGTAAGTACTCTGACTTCAGAAGACTCACTCACTAATCTTCTTTATAATTTTAATTAATTATTATCTATTGCTTTTTCACACAGATCTTCACAGATAAAAAATACTTAAAATAATAAAGTATAGAAGAATAGATTAACTGAATAAAGCTCAATTATAAAAAAAAAATTAAAATTAAAATTAAAATAAAAAAATAAATTATTAACAATCTATAATTCACAGTTATTAATTATATAATATAGTAAAGATTATTATTATTATAATATAACTACAGATATCTCAGCAGTCTAGACTTTAAATTAAGTAAAGTAATACTGTAAGAAGCAGTATGAATAATTCAGAAATTAATGAAGTAGCAGCCTATGAGATCATCAGATATCTATTTTATAACTTTATAGATATAGAAAGAAAAAGAGACAAGAGCTGAGTAAGACAGCACTGATTCTCTGCAGAGAGAGAGAAGACAGTGTATTCAGATATAAGTAAGTAAGTAAGAGAGAAAGAGAAAGAGAGAGAGAAAAGAAAGAGAAGAAAAGAGTATATAATTATTATAAGAGCATAGAACAGGTTTTTATAAATTGAGTAGTCAGTCATTGAAGCAGTGTAAGAGAGTATAAAAGTAGTGAGAGAGTATGTTATCTCTGAAGCAGTAATGATGCTGCTGTAACAAGTCTAATGCAGTAAGCAGATTAATGACAACAGTGTTCAGCGGGCTGAGCGCCCTGCTAATCAGCATAAAAGATACTGATATATTTAAAACAGTCTTTATTATTAGTTATATAACTCTTAAGATCTGTTAATATATTTAATACATGTAAATTAATTATAATATATATATAGTAATCTGAGAAGTGCTTAAGATATAACTTTATAATAACTATTATAAAACTAATACAGCTCTAACTATAAAGCTGTGTATAAATAGTCTATATATATAATATAATTAATATATAATTAACTTTATTACTGACTTTGAAATATTAATAACTAATTTATATTGAAATAATTCTATTATTTACTTTATATTTTATATTAAACTAACTGTACTAATTCTATACTAGATTAATTAAATATATTTTAATATCTGATCTATTACTTTCACTGACTGAAAGAAGACTGTAATCACTGTAGAAAATTATATTATTATATTTAAAT